ACAACAGGCCCAACTATCTTTCCAAGTACTCCTTATATCATAAGCAAAGAGGGATCACAAACTGAATCAAGCTAAGAACAGTCTATTTAAAGACAACAAACCCTTAAAAAAAATCCTTTTGAACTCATCAGTTAAACAGTGGATGACAAAAACAGATTGCTAAGCAAGGCTAAAGATGTTCTGGCATCTATTTAAGCTGAAGACTTTTCTTCCTCATCAATAATATAAGAGCAGACATACTGAATGCCTTGGGAGAACTAAATTTAACCACCAAGATTGTTCTTTTTACCCATAAGGGGCAAGGATTTCCCAGTGAAGTCAATGACAGTTACATATCTATACCTTTATGTAGAACTTGTTCTTGAAAAATATTGACACATCTAGTCTTGTCTGTGACTTCATATGTCTTTTTCCCTCTCTGGTCAGATACGCTTTGCAAGGAATGAGACAGAAGAAAGTGACAGTATTTATACAGGCATCTATACAAAGTAATCCAGATTTTCTTCCATTCCCAACATTAAGGCACATTGTAAGACAACTCAACAGTCTTTCAAGCAGGTCAACCTTGAGTAACAAAGCATTATCTTTTGCAATATATCCACTAGGTTCCAAGATTTTTATCAGGTATTTGTGTTTCTTTGTAATTTGTTGGGTCATGCCTGAATTTCTAAACAATTCTCGAACTCGGTGGGTACAAGCCATTCTCAAGCGCTTCAGAACTTGCACTCTTCAAGCAACATTTGCCTCCTATAAAATTAACTACTGCTAATAATCACTGCACATTCTCTACCATTTTCAAACAAATCAGAGGAAAGCTCTTTCAGTTCAGCCTTTCACAAAGCTTATTTTAGAATTGCTGATAGACATTACTTCTGTTCTGTGCCTATAGTCATAGTAAGACAAGATTCTAAAAATATCCATTTGCTTCTTTAAAGAAAGCAAGCTGCAGGCTCTTCCCCTGTCCTCTGAAGGTCCCCCAATATAGTAAATACTGGTATACTCATTCTAATAGTGTGCGTGGTTTGGGTTTGTTTTTTTTAAAAAAATGTTTAACATTGACTTTGAAGTCTTCGCCAAAGAAACAGAAAACCCAGCACTTGCAGTCTTGTTAACAATGCAAATCAGTAGTGTCTAAGACATACCTAACACCACTTCAAAATTACACTTATTTCAATTGCAAGTCATCTACAGTTTGTTAGTTCTCTTATGTATCCTTCAAACCAGCATTTTCCCCAAGATGACTGGAGTTATACATAGTTACAGCAACTGTTCATGTATGCGTCCATGTGTACAGGCTAACGTTTGTCAACATCTCTGCTGCTGCTGACCTCCTAGTTTGGGACTCCTATTCTTAACCAGCCATCTTCCCATTCCTCCTCTTTCCCCAAGTTCCTCCCTAGACACAGAAAACAGAAGGTAGAGTGAAAATAGCTAGAAGTGTATGCTCTAACCACGAACATCCAAGTTGATTTCAACATTAGACAACACCTTGAATCCTTTCGTAGTTGCAGAGAAAACTAAAACTACAGATAATGATGAATTCACTTATGCAGGTAACACATTTTTATAAGTAGTCTGCATTCTTATTTCTAAGCTATTGCCAAGACTCTTGATTGCCATTTTACCACCAGCAAGGGCATAATAAAAAGAGCTCCATGATTAATTCTAAGGCAAGAAAGAGATCCTGCTGCTCAAACAGAACAAATAAAATGAAAAGGTGATTCATGTACACTGCCATCCCTGTCAGACAATTGGCATCAACAGTTCTCAAAAGCAGAAGAACTGCAAATCTGGTATTCTGAGGAGCAGAACGAAAGGGATGATTGACAGAAATATGCAGCACTCTTCACTTTTCCATGACAGATCAAAATTTGAGAGAAACATCACTCATTTCATAGCATAGCTTGTGTTTTAGTCTTGAAGTTGGAAACGTTATAGTGTCAGGTGTAACAAATGCTTATACCTCAAAGTATATTAGAAAGCTACTTGTAGCTGCTTTAAATTAAGAGCACACCATGTATTTTGGTTTTTTCCAGATGTGAAAACATCACCATGCAGCTAGGAAATGAGGGAAGGACAGGGGACAACACCCAAATGAAGCAGTTACAGCTAGGCATCAAATACTGTTTGCCTTTATCAGCTGAAGAGTATTTGTGGCACTAGGGTTCTGGAGTGAGATTGTATAGTAAGCATTTAGAAAAAAGTGAGAAAAATCCATAACCAAAAATTGTATTTAGTAAGTGTTAATACAGAGCTTTAGCTTTTAACTAGGCCCTCAAAGTAAGGTGGGAGAAAAAAAAGATCCAGGTTAAGCAGTCCAATTCTCTGCTCCATCAATAAATCTGAAACACCACAGGAACTGCACTGTTATTAGTTAACTTTAGTGTATAGAATAATCTTGCTACACTTCAGGGTACTTTAACTATTTCTGCTGCAGCTGGATAGTTACACTAACCAGGATTCTAGATATTGTTAGTATAAATAAAAAATCTCTCATTAACCCAAGTTCATTACACATAATGTGCTACAATTAAAGCACTTTAAGCAAGCTTCAGAAGAAAGATTAATATAAAAAAGCCAGTTCTGAGGTACACTCATCTGTTAGTCCTTTTATAGCTTTGTCTACACACATTGTTTAAGATGTTTCTTCAGTTTTTATCTTCCAGGTTAACCTGCATTTTCATTTAAAACAAATCAAATCTTGCTTCCTCCCACCACTCCCCCTGCTACCCCCCAGGACAGCACTACTTATTTTTAAAATGATCCAAGTGCATCTAACTATTGCTTTGCAGTTGTTTCCATCAGAAGAACTTCTCCGATGCTGGAATATGTACAAGTTAAGCTTCAAGGAGGGTGGGCTTTTTAAAGCTATGTTCCAAATACAATAGATGAGAAACATTCTTTTTATTTTACAAACATACAAAAACATATACCTCATTTAAGTGTATTTCTCATTATCAGACTTGGACAATAAAATATGGTCAAGAAATCTTAAGTTGACAGAATATAGATCAGCTGTCAAATAAGCATATTGTCAACCTGTAAGCACAGAGACTTTTGTAAGATGTCTTCACTGAAAATTATGGAAGCTAGAAATAAAGCAGAATCCATATCCAACACCCTTCCCAACACCATTAGAAACAACTTGGGAATATTTACTAGATAGATTTTTTTTTAAAGAGTTCTTCATGTTCTTTGAATTGAAAATTTGATTTTAATGTTTGAAATCATTTATGAAGCTGTAATATGAACACACAATTTGCTTAAGAATGTATTCAAAATATTTTGCTGACCAAAACTCCCAAGACCTTGAAGAACAACTGGCTCACATGGCAACTGTGGCAGTTCAGTCAACATGCCAAAATCTACATTCACTAAGAGAAGAGCTTCCTATTAAGTATGTGTGCTTGGATTGTATTTTCTTGATGAATTTATACATCAAGAGACACAGCAAGTAAGTCTCATTTTCCTGTAGGCATCCATAACATGAAGTTCAGGAAAGATTAACCTCTCCCACTAGTTTTTGGCCCAGAACATGTAGTGAATAATGGAGTATGATTGCTTGTAATTTAGAATCCAGCATGACCAAAGACACCCCTTATACTCAAATTCCGAAATCAACATGGGAACACATTAAATTCAAATGCATTCACATTACTATTTGAATATTTCTCTTGGTTTTCCTGACCTTAAACCAAAGTAAGATCACTATCAAAAGAGGAACTTTTTTCAGGTTAATACAAGTGAAACAAGCCCTCCCTCTTAATTTCTTCACATTATTTTATGTATGCAGCTAACTCACTGTTTCACATTTGATGTGTCACATCTGTGGCTCCATGTGCGTACTAAGTTGAGGGAAAGAATTGTTTAGGGCAAGAGACTAGAGACTAGAAGCAGAGCAGAAGCAAGCAAGCAATATGCAACACTGCCAAGAACTGTCACCACTTTTGCTATTTGAATCAAAAAGTTGTCTCGAGATCTAAACAAAGATAAAAAGGATTAGTAACACAAGAAAAACTGTATGGGGAAACCCCATTACTTCCTGATAACCTCTAAGGGATAAGCAAGCAGGTATACGCTCTCCTCACATGAAGAAAACCTCAATTCGATTCTCAAATCCCCACCCTCATCTCTGCAGCACTCAAGAGCAGCATCACCTTAGTGCTGCTGAACACACAATCAGACAGGAGCAACAGATTAGTTAGTTATAAAGGGCTTGCCACTAAAAATTTTTATTTTGTCAAAATAGTTATATAGAAAGCAATTTGTATTAAGATATTTGAAAACCAACTGAAGTGTTTTCTCCAGGACAACATTAAGAGCAAATTCATCAGGAGCTTATTTGAAGCAACGAATGAGCCGGTCTGTCAAGTATTTATCCCAAACTTCAGGTTTTCCTACATCACGAATCTTGGTTTCTTCCAGCAACAGGTAAGAAGGACAGGCCTAGCCTGTTTCAAGGATCCACCCATTCTCTAAGCTTAAGTTTAGACAGTCAAACTATTTTGAACATCTTTGGTTAATCACATTCCTTAGGAACTGGTACAGAGCAGAAGTAAGTGTATTTACAGATTGTATAATAGACGCAGAACATTCTGGAAACAGCCCGTTTTGTGACCTTCAGTCAAACAGAGTTAAAAATAATTTTTTATCTGGAATAACTATAACCACAATCATTTCCCTACCCAGAGATCCATGTTTTCTTCTGACAGTTTTCCTTAGCAGACTTCTCAGATACAACAGCTCACAAATAGCACCTACCTGACAGCGGACAGAGGTTGTCTGTATGGGAAATATAGTAGATCAACCTTTATGTCACATTCAAAAGTTTCCAGAATATATCCAGTCCTCAGTACACAACATGTATGACCCAAGAGTGAACCCGCGGAAGATACTTTGAAGTATGCATCAATTTGCATCCCTTATCTACTGGGAGCAGTGATAGTCATAACCATTTTGGTTAAGAAATAATTCATGAGGTCTCTAAACAAACCACTTGCCTTGGAGATCAATTCATCATGATTGGCTAGATGGGCTCTACAGTGGATACAGCTGTAGGTTCGATGACAGTTTGGCAGGTAAGCCTGGAACGTTTTTGATTTTGTCATTTTTACCATCTCTGCTGGTGGCTCCTCACTCAGCTCAGGGCTGGCACTTGAAGAATTACAACTTTGCTGAACTCGCTGACAAAAGAAACACTGGAATATGCAAGCAAAAGCCGTTGTTGTTCTGGAGTGTGTGTGGCACTTTCCACACAAATGACAGAAGAGAAACAGTCACAACCTGTAGATGAAAAAAGCAGAACAATTAGCAGCTTACAATAAGGCCAGAATAAACTTGTTATTCAACAACTCTAGACATAAAACGAAGTGTTCTTTAGAGCAAATGCCTGGCTGCACTACAGGCCCCTTTTTTCAATGAAGCTGCACAGTTCAAGTTCCATTCAACACAGCAACGGGCAGTTCTGTTCCATTAGTGGCTTCTACTCCATCACACTTCTAATGAAGGAGGAGATTCAAACCATTCTCCACAAAACACAAGCGCTTTCTACAATATACCAGGTACACTCTTTAAGACATCCATGCAGAAAGTGACAGAAAAGAGGCAGGGGATTACAGAAAGTTAATTGTCTTTGAAGTTCCAGAGGTGAGTTCCAAAACAGGAGTGACAAGGCATCTTGGAAAACACTTGCCATGTCCAACAGTAAACATACAATAGATGCTCATACTTCAGCTTTCAGCAAACATCTTGCTGTATCACATCGGGCTTTAATTCGAATACCAAGTAAGGTGCGGCCACCCTATTCAGGGATCCGCTTTCAAGCTTGACAGAATTATGCCCTTAGGCAAAGACCTTTTTGACTAGTGCCCTGATCAAAGCTAGTTAGACACTTCCTCACTCTACCAGAATAGTCTTCACAGATGCTACCAAACTCAGATAATAAAAGCTAAATTCTACACAAAGAACATCCAATTGCGTTCTTAATTCTCAGAGTGTCTTTAAGAGACATCACATGCACAAACAGAGAAGGCCAGACCTTCCTGCTATGCTGGAAAGCAAGCCTTTTCTTAGCTACTTTGCCTGAAAATTACAGATTCTAAATATTCATAGTAATATCTACCAATCTGTCAAAGGCCATCCGTTACCACGCTATATGCATCAAGCTAATGAGCTATCTAAACATGAACACTGCACAGTCACTTATGTCATCAGCTATCAGGTGACTGACAGAGTAGGTCAACAGCACAAACAGAAATGAGAGCCAATATAAAGAATTTACAGTACCTTGATCCAGCTATTAAAACGAGCATGCAAAACACTTATCACAGTTGTAAACTGTGTGCAGGGCAGCAGTTAACCACTCTTCTAGCAGTAGGATATTAGTCATACAAACAGAGCAGATAACGAAAGACACAAATTACAGACTGTTTATAGGAAGCAGTCACTGTGCTTCAAAAGAAGTCTTAGGAAAGTAATCTGTACAGCAGGCCTAGCACAAGAGTCAACCAGAGCCAAGATTTAAAGGGTGTTTTGTTTTTTTTTCTAATCTTAAGCTTCTGATAGCAGCAGGAGAAAAGACTCAAGAACTACTGAAGGACTTGCTACAAGAAAATTTCCCACACAAAGAATTGCAAAGGTGGAGATAAGCCACAAACAAGACATGTAGCAGAACACATGCAATCCAGAAAATAAAGCAACAATGGGAACAAGTTGCCATCCAAAGCACCTATCTACACATCTGAATGATTAGACTTTTGTTAGTCACTGAAAAGGAAATCAAATTTGATACGGGATACATAAATATGTTTGAAATATTAACCCAGTTAGCATGAATAGAATTTAATTATTATATATAATCATTTAAACAAACATTATATACCTATTGTCCCAAGATAATGTAATTATAACTGCAAAGTGAGGAATGATTACAATGTTTGGAGAAAACAGCTTGCTTTTGTACAACAGCCAGATATTAAGACACGTTTATTAGAGGTAACAAATTATAGGAGAAAGATGACACAAGAAATACAATCCTGGAAGTTAAACATGAGGTTCCCTTTAAATTCTCTGCTTGAGTTCTTAATGTCAGAAAGACATAGACCCTATTTAGGTTCACAGAAATGAAAAAAACCACACCAGGGTTTCAGAATGAAAGGCACTACAAGCAAAGATGTTTTGACTATGTATTCAACCGTTTCGATCAGTAATTGAAACATGAGTTCAATGTTTGCAGAAGTTCAGCAAGTTGGACATAAGGAAGAAAATATTTTTTCTTCAAGGCACTCCTAGAAGCTCTTTTAATTCCCACTTCTAAAGGCAATCTGGACTCTTTCAGTCTTAATATACTAAGTCCTTCAACTACAGAAATTAAAGAATTCCAAAGCTCTTTTGACAAAAAAAGTATTTGATATTGCTCTCTTCACAAAAGGTGGCGATCCTAAGAACCACCAAACAAATTGAATATTGCTCTCTTCAAAAAGAATGCAATCCTAAGAACTTGCCGCTTTGTGACGTTAAAGGCAAGATTCAAAGCCTGAACCATTTCTTAGCTGGCTTCAGCAATGGTGAATAAATCCAGTCCCGCTTCACTCTGATAGTTACGAGCAGTTGCAGGTTCCCTGGCTGCTGTTCATTATTCTGTGGAAAGCAGTGTAAGAGACCTCAGGCAACTATTTCTTTCTTATTCTTTGACAACAGCACAGTCTGTGCTTTGGCACGCACATGACAGATGTAAGCAATTCGAAAGAAACTGCAAAATGAAGAGCAAAAACAAGCCCACAGGTTGCTGCCTAGTCATTTCTAAATCGCTGCCCAGACCCCGTTTCGGGTGACTCGCACTTGTACCTACCGGCCTAGAACCAAGCGGCACCTCTGGGAGC